GACAGATGGGAACAATCAATTGTTCAGGAACATGTGGAGGGGAACCTGTGTTCTCCCCAGAGCAAGCAGGTGACTGTAACCATGGACAAACAGTGTTCCAGAGCTGTGCCCTCCCATGTCCCACAATTCGATTCCCTTCTTTAACACAGGGCAACAATGTCACCCAACTGTAAGTTCACACATGAGATTCACTGCAAATGATTCACCAGAAAGCAAGTGAGGGCAAAGCCAGATGTCACTGTGCTTTGAAAAATACCCCCTGAGAGCTGTGCCTGGGGAAAACACAGGTCACTGTATGCAAATGAAGATGGAAAAGAACAGGTTAGTGACTACGTGAGAACTGGGCTAGTCAAACTCAAGTGCTCCATCTAAAACTCAGTGAAATCTGTGGCATGCCATGAGCCCCCAGTTTAGAAACAGGACATTTATGAACAGGCCAAAGGGAGGGAGCTGGGAGCAGGTGCCCATGGCCCTGCTGCAACTATGGATCCCATGACTAGAAGAATCCAAACAGAAAAGAGAAGGGCCAAAACACTATTTCTGGACAGCAATGCAAGTTCCCATCCAGCCCTTGGGGGAGGATGAATGGCATCTGATCCCCCCTCTACCAAGCCACACTAAACTGGACCATTTAATCTCTTGCACAGCATCCCAGAGCCATAAAGGCCCAGCAGTGCTCTCATGTTTTATGGCAATTTGTTTGATTTCATCATCCATCTCCAGTAAGTCATCAGTTAAAAACAGCACAAAACAGATGAGATAATCTTTCAGCATTCAACCACACCAATACAACTGCAGCTCTCTGCCAATTCCACCTGGAAAAGTTCCCTCTTATTTCAGTCACTTCCTTCTTGGTATTCACAGGAAACAAGAAATCTCCCTCTCTTGGCATTCCCTGTTTACCTGCTCAGCACTTCACTCCTGAATTCAGCAGCAAGGTTAATACAGCAACAGTGGAGACAGATTTAATGAGAACAGTAAGCTGGAAGACTGCAGAGGGAAACAGAATTTTCTGCGTTTCTTTTTAGCAGGACAGATACTCGTGCCCTCAAGGAGCAATAGATGTTAGGTGCTTATAGGAAGGTGAGGAACTCCCTCACTTCTTCCAGCTAAAGGTTACTTCACCTTCATCAGTCAGACACTCACCGATATAAACATCAGAGGGACAGGAGGAATTCCTTCCCCAGCACATCTCAAAAATGTTTCCTTAATTTCTTCTGATCACAACATTCTTTTAGCTCAATGCTTCGAGATGCAAAAACCAGTAACGTGCCTTAACCACAAGAACTCCTTCCTTCTGCCTTCACAATGAGCAGTTTTGTAACAAACTTTCAAAAGAAACCTATTTGAAGAAACTGAGTTTGTTGGAAACTGAAAGCGTTAGGAGCAAAACATTTATATGGAAATTATGCATTGTGAGCTTCCAATAATATAGAATAAAAAGTAATTCTGCTCAGCTTAGCATATAGCAGGGTCTGTTTGCTTTCACACAAAGGCCCCTATTTTGCTGGTTTTTCTGTGTTTCAGAGCCAAGAAGGCTGAAGTGGGTGAGAAGGGAGGGCTCTGCCTCACATCAGACACCAATGGCAGCAGCAGCTCAGCCTCCAACCATCAGCTTTTCTGCCCTATTAGCATCCAGCTTCTGAACTGCATTTTCCTGACTCAGGGCTTTTACAAGACAGCGACGGGAAAGAGGAACCTTTCTCTCATTATATATTACAATTAGTTTTCAAATTATTCCTAAAACCCCAGGCACAACAAACCACAAATTCCATAACAGCCAATCAGATCTCTAGAGAGAAGAGGAAAAAAAAAAAAAAAAAGAAAATAAGAATGAACAGAGTAATAAATTCTCCATCTGCAGAACAGGACTAAAGCTGCAGACGCGGGTAGGCCTTCACTGCAAGGCCAAACATCACCTCAGCACCAGCCCTGGACCACCCATCTTCATCCCAGCCTCCAATGTGAAACAAGTCTCCTTCTCTGAGATTTAAATTACACTGAGCTTATTAGTGTTAACTGAAACTAGTCCCAGGACAAGGAGTGACACTTCAGTCACAACACAGGTTTCCTGAGGCTGGACAGGCACAACCAGCACCCCAAAGCTGGCAGTGTGTCCTCACATCACTCAAGTTCTACTGATACAGAACCGACACGGTCCAGCTGGAGGAACTCTGTGTTGGACAGAGCAGTTGCCGTGTTATCACACCGAAAAAAAAAAAAAAGAAAAAGGACACAAAGGCAATTCAGAGTGAACTCCATTCCATCTTCCAGGTTTCACTGCATCTATCAGGTACCCCATGTGATTACATTTATTGCTGGAGACACATGGACATGCATGTAAATATAATAACGAGTTACTTCATGACAAATACATCAAAACAACGCTACCAAAAAGATGCAAGTGAAAATTAAAAGCAAGGTTTTGGTACAACAAAATTGGAAGAACATTGTGGCCTACAAAATTTGACTTCCCTGAGTTGCTATCACAAGCCTCATTTGAGCCTCATTGAAATAAACTGACTGAAAACAAGTATTTTAAAAAGTATTTTTAAAAAGCTTTTGTTCTTGTTTGTTCCTGAACGTGTTTCTATCCCTTCTTGGCACCCTTCCTGCCCTTTCCCCTTCAGAATCTTGGGAATGTGAATACAGTAAAGCCTGTACATGCTTGGCTTTGAAGTATCTGACTTCCTGCCCAAGCACATTTAAACCCACAGCACTTGCCAGACTGTACATCACCTGTGCCAGTTCCACTGCCTGTCATAACATGGGTGGCTGGAATAACCTGACAGGGCAGCTCCTTGATGAGCAGAAACGTGCCCTTCAGAAACCAGGCTCCAGGAGACAAAGCAACGACACTCAGAGCAGGAGAAACACAGGCTAAGAAAGCACTGCTTCTTCCTAGTGCACTTTTCCTCAGCTGTTAACTTGCTGCCTCACCCCAAATTCCTGTTTTCCTCAAAGCTCAGCTGTCTCAAGGAAGGCTTTTAGACAAGGTTCACTTTTCCACGTGTTAAGTTTGACACAAACCAGGAGGAAACAAGCACGATGGAAACACAAAGAGGTCCGTGTTAATAAAAACAGCAACAGAACCGAAGCAGCTGACGATGGATGTGTGAGGACAAGGCTCCACCCCGAAGGTGGAGGTGAGTGTGGACGGAACCCGAAGCATGCAGGAGGGACAGCGAGTCACTGCGAGGGACACGAGCACTGCCTCACCTTCCTCTTGTCCAATGAGGGTATGGCTACCCCATTGGAGCGGTTAAGGTCTGACACCAGCACCTTCAGAATGTTCTGAATCTACAGGAGGCGAAAGAAAAGGGGAAAGAGAAACGGCTCAGAGAAAGACAGAGAGAAAACGTCAATCCAAGGCAGCCAAAGAACCAGCCTCGTCCAGAGCAAACACCTCAAAACAGCAGCTCTGGGCACACCCAGGGCATGGTCACCACCGCTTTGGACAGATCCCGGCTCCAGCTGCACCTTCCACCACTGGAAGGTTGGCAGCTGACAGCTGTTGAGGGACACTTCATACACCACTCAGCTGTTACACCAGCAAAAACACTTCCCAGCTCCACTCAGGTTGCCCAGAAAGCCAAAGAGCAGGAAGGTGGGAAATGATTTAGGAGGAAGAATGAGGCACTCACGTTCTCTGGAGGCTGCTGGTCGTCGGTGGTGGGAGTGGCAGGTCTGCTGCCTTCTTTAGTTTTGCGTTTTTTCTTAGTTCCTGCAGTTGCTCCAGGGCTGTTCTTCTGCTGATATTCCTTTAGCTGTGAACAGAATAAGAGTCTGAAGTCCAAAACAATATGCCTTCTATAATGTCAATAAAACCCCAAAACTTAACTCTGTTGGCTGATGATACAGATCAAGTGTAAGGACAAGTGAAATGCTCTTCCATGAGTTTGCCCCTCTGGGAAAAGAAATCAAAACAAACCCAGAGAAGGATAAAGTAAGACCTAAAGTGATGGGTTTATGACAAGAGCATCAGAGTTGTAAAACAGCTAAATGCTGTTCTTGGGAAACAATTGGATACTCCACAGTGCAACTATAAGATTAAAAGCACTATTTTTGCGACTTTTTAGGGTTATAACTAAGAGCAATAAGGCAAAATTAATAAAGGGCATTTAATCCTGCAAGCAAAGTGAAAAGGCGCTGCCTGACAGTAAGATCTTCTGCTGCACACAAAATGTTGTGAAGGAAGACTGCAATCCCCACAGGCAGGTAACACATTAGTACAGACACTGCAACAGCTAAGGGGAGAAACAACCTACAAACGATTTTTTAATCACAGCCACTTGGCCCAGGAAGTGCCGGTCTGATAAGCTGTAACTCGAGTCCCGGCAGGGTTTCTGTGCAATTCCTGTGCACCTGAGCCCCGAACGGGCCGGTCCCGGGGTTATCCGTGTGAGTACCGAGCCCCCGGCCGGGCAGGGCACGGCGGGGCATCGGGGACGGGGCAGGACGGAGGAGGATCCCACCACTGGGAGCATTTCAAAATGGAAGCCTGGACTGCTCCAGGACACTTCGCCGTTCCTGTGACTTTGACACGGCCGGGACGGACGAGGCCGGGCCGCCCCGAGGGGAAAAAAAAATATGGGGAAAAAAACATGAAAAAATAATTTTAAAAGGAAGCGAGGGGGAGGAGAGGGGACACAGGACTCCCGCACAGCAGCCCGCAGAGCACCGCGGCCGCCCAGGCCCAGCCTCGCCCCGGCCGCACGCCGGGAAGGCCGGGCCGCAGCCCTGACACCCGCGGGCTCCCGCGGCCCCTCCGCGGCCCGGCCCGGAGCGAGGGGGCGGCGGCCCGGCCCGCGTCCCTCAGGGGAGGCCGCGCTCGGCCCGGCCCGGCCCGCCCGGGGCTCCGACCCGCGCGGGGCCCGCGCAACGCGACCGACCCAGCCCCGCCGTGCGGTGCGGGGACATGTCGTGCCCTGTCCCGTCCCCCCCGGCCCCTCACCTTCTTCTTGGCCGCGGCCAACCGGCTCTGCCTGCTGCCGTCCGCCATGTCCGCCCCGCGCCCGGGCCACGTCAGCCCGGCGGGAGCGGCGGGGGCTGCGGCGGCTCCGGCCGGCCCGCTCCGCCAGGACACCCGGGGCACCTGCTCCGGGACAGCCCTGCTCCGGGACAGCCCTGCTCGGGGACACCTCTGCTCCGGGACACCCCTGCTCCGGGACACCCCTGCTCCGGGACACCCCGGTGTGGCACCTCGCTGGTGTGACACCCTCCGCCCTGGAGACACCCTGGGCCGCCGTGTGACACCCAGCGCTGTCCCGCTGCTGTAGTGCCCCTAAAACCCCGAGCGAACGCCGGGAGGAGCCGGGGCTGGTTCAGCCCCTGCGCTGCCCGAGCTGCCGTGCGGGGCCCGGAGGGAAGCGGGACACGGGGACAGCGGGGAACGGGAGCGTGGGCAGCGCTCACCCCGCGAAAACAACGTTGTGGGGATGTTTGAGGAAAGACTGGGCGCAGCACGCAGTGCCATGGTCTGCTTGACATGGTGGCGCTGGGTCTTAGGTTGGGCTCCATGATCTCAGAGGTCTTTTCCAACATGTGATTTTGTGACTCTATTGTGACCCCGAGACTCTGTAAGTCCCCGTCCCGGCTGAGCCCCGGCGCAGAGGTGGCTCTGAGGCGGTTTTTGAACGGCACCGAGTATAACCACCTCGACTGCGGCCACGGGGACAGCTGTGTCCTGCCACACCTAATGTCACCTACAGCCGGGCCGTGGCGGGGGACTGCAACTCCCGGCGTGCTCCTCGGCAGCAGGACTACAGCTCCCGGCGTGCCCTGCGGCGCCACCCGCGCCCGTGAGGCGGGAGGCGCGAACGGGGAGCTCCTCAGCCCAGAGCCCTCAGTGCAGAGCCCTCAGTGCAGAGCCCTCAGTGCAGAGCCCTCAGTCCGGTCCCCTCAACCCGGAGCCCTCAGCGCTGGCCGAGCGGGTCCCGCCCAGCACCGGCCGCAGCCCGCCCCGCCACCCGCCGCCGCGGGCCCTGCCCAGGAGGTAGGAGCCGGTTCCCCGCTGCCCCCTCGCCTCCCCTGCCCTCCTGGGCCGCGTCCCCGCCGAGGCGGCGGTGCCCGGCCCCTGACGCGGCTCCTTCTGCTTTGCCAGGGCCTCGGGCGGCGGCCGGCGGAGCGGCACGGCCGGGTTCAGGGCACCGGTGAGTCCACGCCGGGCCGGGGCGGGGCGGTGGGTCCTCTGTCCTCTGCCCCCCGCAGCCGCTCGCACGGCTCCGCGCAGCGGGGAGTGTTTTTCACTGGAGGGAGAAACCGCTCGTTCCCTGAGTTAGTGCCGGCCCCGCAGTTTAGCTCCCCTCCTGGGAGCTTGTGAAAACCAAATTTTGATTTTTTTTTTCTCTTCACTTCACGCTGTAAATCTCCAGAGTGCTGTAGGATGTGATATGGAGCAGGCTGATGCTACATAGACCAGTCCCTGCCTTACTTAAGCTCCCCATTCCCTGCCCAGGGGATATTGTTTTCCTTTCTGCTCCTGTTTTATCTAGTGGCACACACACTGTTTTCCCATTAGCGCCCACATCACTGTAGTGTCTTATCCAGGGCTGAATTGCTCTTAAATGTCTTCTGTGCTCTACAGGTCCCATCTCCAAGCTCCTTCCAACCTAATGGAGCTAGAGAAGCAGCCCTGAGGTGTGAAATTGAAGAGCTGAAAAGGAAAGACCTTGCTCTAGACCAGGAAATCGCACAATTATTGTCCGAGTATGTCCTTGGCAAGCTCAGTGTTCACTTTGTTGCCTCAATTATTTTTGTTTTTAAAACAGGAATTGGAGCTGAGAGCTGACCTTGTGTGATGACATTGTTGTTATGGTGCAATGTTGGTTCCAGTGTTACTGGGAGTGATGGAACCTGAGGGAATTCTTTCCAATTTATTTGGTAAAGCAAAGCATGTTTTACTAGGACCTTGCATAAGAGGATTTTAGCTTTACCCTGTATGTTCCTGAGGTAATTACATGTTAACTGGGAACAGATAATTTCAGCTCTTTGTTACTTGTTGTGGAGGAGTGGTATTTTCCATTAGGATGGAAATGGTAGAACAACAAAGGCTGTGTCAAAATCCTTTTTGGTGTTATCTTACAGAGGCTACAGCCTGGAGGAACTGGAGAAGCACATCTCTCTGCTCCATGAATACAATGAAATCAAAGACGCTGGGCAGATGCTGCTGGGCAAGCTGGGTAAGGAAGGGAAAGCTGTTGGAGAACTCCTTGGCTGGTGTTTTCATACAGACACAGAGAGAAGCTGCTGCACCACGGAGGCACAGCTTGTGGTACAGGCTCTTCACTTCTAGGCTTGTATTACTCAATCATTGTGCAAGCACAAATGCTTCTGTTGTTGTTCTCTTGGACTGTTTTTAGGACTGAATATGGGAAATAATTGTTATTTACCATGTATTTTAGTCTCTGCTATGGATTACCAAAATCTGATAAGTCTTAACCAATTTTTGTCAGTTTTCTTCCTCATGTGTTTTAAAAAAGCAAAGTGTTGAGACAGGCTGCACAGCTGCTAAACCTTGGGTCGGTTTCTTGGCCATGGAAGGTTGCATGGGGTTGGTAGGGCAGGAAAACACAACCTTTCTGAGTGATCTGATCTATGTGTAATAACAGCAGTGGTATTTTTCTTCCTAGCTGTTATCCGAGGGGTCACTACAAAGCAGCTCTACCCTGAATACGACCTGGAGCTCAGTGACTAGTCCTGAACCTGGAGGCTGCCACGTCCTGCAGGAGTGACTGTCACTGGGCACACGTGTTGGTGTCCTCCTGGTTTGGAACTGGCAGAAGGTGCCCTCAGAAGGCTTTTTAATTTAAATGTAGCATTTTGCCACAGGGTGTGGTTTAACAGCCTTGTTCCTAAGAATCTTTGGAACATGAAAAGTTGTACCTATAATTTTCTGCTGTTGGGAAAGGGATGTAGGACTTGGGATAATTTCATCTACTACCTGATCAACAAGATTATTTTTTTTTTTATTGGAAAGGTTGTAACTCAGGTTGATGTTGAAACTCTTCCCGTCAAGCTTTTGCTTCCCTGCAACATCCTGGGGCTGTTTGGCTACTGAGTGGATAGAGAAGTGAGGACATACAAATGTGCAATGTAATAGCTGCTTTGAAAGGAAAACCCTCAGAAGTAGGGAGGGAGGGCTGAAATTATGGTGTTTCGGGGGTTTTGTTGTATGGTCAAATCTGGAGAACTCTGGGGGTTCTGCATTTGTACTTACCTGCTCTGGTATCTGGAGGTTCTGTACCATTTCTGTAGTAAAATGGCAAAATGTGAAGTTGTGTTAATTGTCCACTCTGAATAAAGTAGCCTTCACATTTCTCAGTAATTCACTTTAAGAGCCTTTAAAACATTACATGAACTTGGTAACAAATCCTAAAACCATTCTGAGACAACTCTAACCTCTGTTATTGGGATGTTTTCTGTCAGTGGAGACAGGGTGGCAGCACTGCCCAGGAATGGGCAGGTGCAGAACCCCCTTCCTCTGCTCTACGTGCAGACTCACTGAGAGGGAGTGCTGTCCTGGACAGTGATGATGGGAGCACGAGTGTTTCAATGTCAGTGTTAGGACTCAGGTTGACTGCACAAACTAAATTTGGCTGCCTTGGGCAGTTTTAAGTGATGAAGTGCTCTGCTGACTGCAGATCCCTTGTCCTTTTTTCACTCAGGCTTGATGTCCTTCTGCCCATTTCAACTTTCTAAGACCTTCTTGCCCAGTGAGTTTCCCCTCTAGTCTCCAGTCTGTTCGTTATTGCCAAAGCTGAATCAAATTAATCTTTGTTGTGATTGGAAACCAGGAACCAGTCACAAGGCTGCTGCTGAGAACAGAATTGTTTTTGTGCTCCTGGCTCTGGACCTGGCACAGAAACATCACTAATTAGTATCTTGTTTTGCCTTGAAAGCTGTGGGGAGGGGTCTCAAGCAAGGGCACAGCCAGCCTGTGTATTCCACGATTCATCCAAGCTGGTCTCTGTTGATGTGCAGCTGTGCAGTGTATTTACCGTGGCCACATCAGAATGGACTCTCAGGGGGATGGTTACAGGTATATCCCACACTCCTCTGCCAAGTGTGGAAAATTCCCATGTTTTGGAGTACTTTTAAGGGGAGGGAAAAAGTCACAAGAAGGCAAGAACTGGGAAATGCAAACTTTGTTATTAACACTGCTGTTTTAGCTGGTATTTTGTGTGTGGAAGAACTGGTTCAGCCTGGAGTGTTCCAACCAAAATGTTCCTCTGGCACATGCAACTGGAATTTGGTTTTGCAATGGGAAGTATGCTTGGGAATTCTTCAGTTTGTGTTAGATGTGAGCTATGGGGATGAAGTATAGTGCATTGGAAAGTTACTGAAGGTTATTTAAGGAGTGAGAAGTCCATGTTTTCTTCCCCTCTGTGTAGGAGCACTGGGATTAAAACTTGCAGCTGTAGCTGTGCAAGTGTCCTGCCCAGGGGTTACACTTCAGGTAGCACAGAGCACAGCGCCTGGGGAAGGTGCCCTGATCCCAATCCCTTGTCCGTGGAGGATAAACACCCACAGAACAACATGAGGTAAGAGCAGAACGTCCTTGGGGAGTCCCTGCTGCTGGCACAGTGGCTCTGCCACGCGGTGGCAGCTGCGTTCCACGGCTGTTCTGGCTGCTCTGTGCAGCCCAGGGAAACCCCCCACTGAGAGATTCCAGGGACTAAATGATTCCTGGAATGGTTCAGGACAGAACTGCTCAGTTGTCACTGAGGTAATTCATCGTGGCCCCTCCAATTGCTCCTCCCAGAGCTACTCTTGTACCTTCACGGCTGTCACCTGAGGATGAAATACGCTGGCTTTTGTCCAAGTCCAGGAAAGGAACAGAAGAGACTTCTGCTTTCTATAAATAAACCTCCAAACTCGCTAACTAAGTGTAGAGCTGGAAAAGCACTGAGAGCAATAATGGTAACTGCAATTCACATTTTTAACTTAAATTTAGAAGGTGTGTTTCTGCTAAGTCAGACCCAGCCATAACGAGCTGACAGAGACCAAGTGGTGTCACAGAGCTCACCGAGTTTCACTGAAGGGCAGGACGTGCTGTCTGCACTGAAGCTGCCTCAGAGCAGGATACCAGAGACCCCTCAACACCCTTAGCTACTCAGGGAAAAAAAGAATAAAAAAAAGTAGCACATACTTGGATTTTTTATGACTCAGGGTATTCATGGATGAGTACTGAGCCAAGAACCAGCCTCCTCTTCCCCTTTAGGTCACTTTCAGTTTTATTTCTTGTGTCTCTGTACATCAGTCCCTATTACAAGCCACTTCTCATCACACACACCTATTCTGGATATAACCATTTCCTTGCATTGCTTTGGGTAAGCTCTTTTCTCCTGCACATCTCTCATTTAGCCTGATCTCGAGTCTTGTGTCTGAAAGCAGAGCTAATGGAAAGAAAACACTCTAGGGCAACAGAGGGAAATAAAATCCATATAGTAGATAAGTTATGCTGCCAGTTGCAAGGAACAAATCTGTGCAGTCAAGGGAATACAGCTCTCTAAGACGCTATTTCCTGCTGCTAAACAATTTGGGAATGGGTTTTTATATCCCTTAGCAACCTAATGTTCTCAAAGTCAACAGGAATTTTGGCACAGCTACCTCCCTTTAATGAACTGTTTGTGGTGCTTTCAAAAAACTGATAGAGCCTGTCACTGGGAAAAAAAGAACGCCTCTGATTAAAGTCATCTCAAGGAAAGGGTGGAAGTGAACTGCAATTAACCTCTTTCCTTCTGCTGTCCATCAGGGATTGCTGCAGGGATTGCTCACGGATGTCCCCCCTCAGCACTCTCAGCTGTCTGCACTGTGGGCTGTCTGCACATCCAGCTGATGAACAGGACTGTTATCCCAGTGTCCCAGTGTCTTCTCGATCTCTGTTTCCACTTTGAGCCGGCAGTTCCGAATGGCATCCCGGATACTCCGCAGGTCCCACTGGGTCCTGGGCAGGGCGTCGTCCAGCGTGAAAACCCCGTCGCGTGTTCTGCGCACCTGCGTGCACACGGCTGAGGATTTCAGCTCCAGCCCGATCTCGTGGACTACCTTCCGGAGGTACTGCTGGGTCTCATGCAAGCAGTGGATTTCTAGGGGGGCAGAGAGATTCCTTCAGAAGCAGCAAAGCTGTGACACAAGCTCAGATTTTGTGAATCCAGACATCACTGACAGTTAGGCTGAAAGAACTGGTTTGGCAGAAGACTATTTAAGATACAGCACGGGTGGATTATGATTTTCTGGAATACTGCAGGGTGTCTTAGCCCCTCCCAGAGTGAATACTTTAGGAAAACAAACCCATAAATACAAGAGAATTATGTGGAAATTTAGGTATTTCAAAGAAGATAATAAAAGGCGCCTTTTCAATAAGGCAAATAGTTTGTGAGGAGAAGGAGAATGGATGCAGGAAAGCAAACCACACTTTAAAAAACCCCAACAACCCAGCACTGAAATGCACTGCACTGAATCATTGGGATAAGAAGAATTTTGCTCCATAGGTATTCACGATGCAAATTTTCTAGCCTCAGATTTAGATCTGGAACTGGCAGGGAAAAACCTACGAGCTGGGTGCGCAGCTGGATGGATTTACCAGAGCAGCTGCAGAACTGTGAAGATTCCAGATCTTTCTCTACCAAAGAATCTTTCAACCACCCTGAAGAGTTCATCAAAAGAGGAGATGCTTTGGTGACTTTGAAAACTACAAATCCTTAGAATTTTCTGCAGGGATTAGCAGTTACGAGTTGATGAGAAATACTCACCAAGTCATTTTGCATTAAATCCCAAGTAAGAAACTGAATTTTACCAACTTATTTGCCATAACACAGAGTTCCCCAGCACATTCTGGACCAGTCCTACCTAGCTGGAATTCTGGAGGTGCAAACTGGAGGCATCGGATCGCTGTGATTATCGGGGGGCTTTTATCCATGGGGCGAATCAACCCTTTGACAGCCAGCTCGTAAGCCTCTTGTGTTTGCATATCAATGTTGGAATACCTGGAAAAAGAAAAAAAGGGATAGCACAGCCATTTACTACTTCTCTCCAATGGGATTCAAAATATCTCCACTCCCAATAAAGCAGAGCTGCAGTTTCTGTTTTTGAAACTGCCTCTTTGCTGAGTTTTTGCATATATTTTAATACTGTCAGTAGTTGTAGCACAGTTTGGGAGGGAGGTACCTGATCGTGTCTGCAAGATATTTTTGTTAGCTCTAATGTAACAAATTGGTCTTAAAACAGCTGGAGGTTTTGGGATACAAGAAGGACACTTAACTGCAGCCTCTCACCAGAGCACTCCTAGTAACTCCTCTCTGCTCCTGGCAAGCATGACAACCTTTAAAAACTTCAATTATGGGAAACAAAACCCTCTCATTTGTTTTAATGGCACTAAATGGCAGTGGGATCAGGTCAGCTCATGGATACCCACAGCCCTTGGATACCCACATCAGCAGGGCCTTGTGATTTGTCCCTTGAATGACAGCGAGAATCCTTTCCAGCTTCTCCCTTGTGATATGATCTGCAAATATTAAGGCAGAAACAAAGTCTCAATTATCCATCCAGAAACTGGGAAGAGACAGCAGCCTGAAATGTGCCACCGAGGTACTGCTGCCCCTTGGGCAGTCACATCAAAAGGCTGATGAGAGGTGGTCTCAGCAGAGCCACTTTCCCTGGCTGTACATGGAGCAGCACAGCACTGGACTTTGCTTAATTGATTTCCAGATGTTGATGCTCCAGTTTGTCTTATCAGATGTTTGAAGAGTTGCATTCAATGAAAGCTTTTAACTGCTATCACCAAGTGTGATTTACAGAGATCTGGGTCTTGACCAAGCCAGCAGCAATGAGTATGGCCAGCACTTATACTGGCTTTTTATATATTGTGTTATATTTAGAACAAGATCAATAACAAACAGAAAGCATGTAAGGAGCAGCTTCTGTTGTGCAATTCACCTGGCTAAATGCTTTGCAGTTAGTGTGCTGTTTGGTGTTCTGTGTTTAAAAAAAAAAAAACCACACATAAAATCAGTTTCTTACCAAATGTTGTCTTCTCTATTAGCTTCCCTGTGTCTGAGAAGTCATCAGTGGCTTTACCAAACAGCCCACCAACAGTGTAAACCTGGAAGAAAGGCAAAGAGTACAGTTTAATCAAGAAATGCTCCCAGGAACTGAGTAGCAGTGTTGTGCCATGCAGCTGCAAGGACTTGCAGGCTACAAAAGTGTTGCACAAAAAGACAGCAGCATCCGAGGCTCTAAAGGCCATGAGTGGATGCTCACAGGAAGGGTAAC